TTAAGAGTTGCATAAGTGGCACAGTTAAAAAAATACACACTCCAGTCACTTAACATTAAGAATTATTACAAAACATTACTTCAGTAAATAAACAGTATATTATAACGTATTTCACTTACAGTAAATATTGTCATTTGGGATAAAATTTTACTGGTAAAATACAGGTGCTTGGCACCAGGAATTACAATAACAGTCATTATATAACTATTAAAGAAACTACTGTATGGACTGGTGATATTTTGGTTCCAAGATCAAACATATTCTTTTCTGAAAACACTTTCAAAGAATACATGTATTTCAACAAAAATAACCATAGCTAAAATAAAATCATTCACTAAATAAGTCCAGGCTTAACCTTTAACCTACTGAATTTATGTAATGGATTTTGCCCTGCTTTTGAATTTGGAACAGCCTATATTAAAATTTAAAGGATTTCAGTGATTAAAATACAAAAATTGAGCTTCCAACAGTATAGAGCCTCGGGTCAGATTCCAGATCTATGTGAAGGCTGACCTGGCAGTATATTGAAGGCAAAAGCTACTGGTCAGCTTTCACTTCCTGCAGGTTTATGGACAAAGATCAACAAGTCAAGGCAAAGCAACATTCTTAAAAATTATGCATTTTGACGGGCTAGCATGCAAATTAATGACATTTACAAATGTACACAGGGTGACTTTGCAAGTAGGGTCAAATGAGGATGGTAAGGGGGGAGGGGGGGATTAAGAGCAATCATTGTAATAGTCAGTGATATCAAAATAGTGTATATAAATACAATGAATTAAAAAAAAAAAGAGCACATGACAGATCCTACAACAACAAAATATTTGCAAAAGCATACTGGCAACAAAAATATTTTGTCAAATATAGTTAACAAAACATTAAATTAAAATTAGTAGATTTTAGCCTCTCTTTCAAGAGATTATCACCAAGAAAAGACATATAATACTGATTACAGTGTGAAACAAGTAGGTAGAAATAGAGCAAGCAGACCTGCCTGCACCTGCAGCAAGCTTTGACCCCTAACATTATAGTAGTACACCAATGCACACACAGAACATTAACTGGCAGAACTGACTGAGACAGTATGGCACATGGTATGTGGATATATTATACCACACAGAAAGCCCAATCTGTGAGGGAATCAAGTGCTCATATGAGTACCATTATCACAGATTATAATGCTGTTACAGTGTATAACTTCCACACTTCCATTGACCTCTGACAGTGACTCAGCAAAAAATTTAAACTTGCTGGTATTTAAGAAGATTAGGTTCTACCAAAACAACAAAGGATTATCCATTTAAAGAAGTTTTAAAAAAAGAGCTAAATCTTGAGTAATTTTAGGTTAACAGTTATGCCCACATTTTAACTAATGCCATCTGGTGTCCAGAGCCCTCTCCAACCATTGACCAATCATCTGTCAGACCGCAGTGTAAAAAATGTCTGCCAAGCAAACTAAAAAGCTGACCTAACTTATCTTCTCCAGAATTTTTTTTTTTTCAATTAAATCTTCAATAGTTATGGAAAACTACTTCATGTTAACTGTTATTACATTAAAATTCAATCAATAAAATGCCAACTGAATAATTTTCAAATTAACAAACATTTTGATTATGAATAATTCATTACTTATTTGATTAAAGTTGATTTTGTTCAAACATTTTTCATAGATTTTTATTAAACTTTATTATTTTGGCAAAAAAAATTCCACAAGAAAGTGAAATTCAATATGAAGTACAGATCATTTGATGTAAATAGTAGTTTAACAGTATTTGCCTGACCCAGAAAGCCATAATCAAACACATGGCAGAAAGTGTTTGGCTTATCTCAATACACTTAATAAAAAGTTGAAAGCCCTTACACAAACATCAAAGGGAATTTGCACAATTTTAATAAAAAAACATAAACCTTTCCATTAACCAACATTTCTTGTTACAATTATGAATGTGAACTAAATGGTTACAAAAAATATATCAAAATACATGGTAAATTCAGGATAACAGAAATTTTCCTTTTTGACTCCCATTGGCTAAAAATTTGGTCAATTACATATATTTTTTATTGGGCTTAACATTGCACCAACACAGTATAGGTCATATGGCGACTGGTGGAGAAAGACTTCAAGTGCCCCTCTGTACATTATTTAAGTCACAAACGGACCTGTGTAGAACCACCGATGTTCCTTAAGCTAGCTGGATAGCGTTCTCAAAATGATTATCATTTTGCAAGTTGTAGATTTTTCAAAATGATTATTAAAGAAAGTTAAAGAAAGCAAGAGTCCAGATATATACATGTTTATTATGTTTAACCCTTCCTGCTGAATTTCTTAAATAAACTTGTCCAATTTAAATTATTAAAACTTTCCATTGTCAATTATGATGTCAGAATTATTAAGCAGAAAATTTGAAGATGGTCTGTCAACTGTGTATGGACATGCAACCTGGCATGTTATCTATTCTAGTGGCTAAGTCAAATCACTTTCTGTTTAACCAGGGTAAGGGTTAAGATCGAATTTAAAACAGTTCAAGACCTTTATAATCATGATCATAAATCAATTTCACAGAGGAAGTAAACAATATTAAATAGCTGTTACAATAGTTCAACGTATTTTTTATCTATGGTGTCTCCATAGGTGAAATTCTGGCCAGAATTTAATAGATTTTCTAAATTTCAGGTAACCCATATTGCTAAGGGATTGTTATTAAGTGTCAGTGGGAAAGCAAGTATGGAAGGAAAAGAGTATGGAAGGGGAAAATTGTAATAAAAAAAGGTTAAACTTAATTGATTAAATCATTATTTGCTAACATTGCCTTACTTTCCTTTCAAACCAGTTCTGTTTATTTAAATATTATATATAATTTTTATATTATGAACGCAACCAAACTTCACAGTGTTAACTTTCTCCTGACTGACTGACCATTTTCTATGTTTAATTATTAAAAAATGGATTTTAATTTAATATGTTATGAGAATCTCTATTTAATATGATATGACAAGGGACTAAGGGATTTCTTTGACGATCAGGTACATGCAGAAGGAAGGGACCTTTACTTTAAATATGGGGGGGGGGGGGGATTAACAAGCGAAGTTTTTTCCAAAAAAGGGTGAAAAACTGCGCATTAATTTTATAGAATTTTCGCAAATGCTATTGGAGGGTGAAAAGACAGAAGGACTAACAAATGCTCTGATTAAAGCCACCAGCCAACCGCTTTTTCTAAACAGGGTTTGTAACAATACATTGTAGGAGTTATCATTAGATTCTATAATAAATAAGATTAAAAAAATTTCATGTCGTATTACAGATAAACCTGACTGCTCATTAAATTTTCAATTTTACCACAATTTAGTTGATCTAAGTAGACTAGGGAAGGGATGAGCCGGAAAGATCCAAGTTTTAACCACAACTGATATCAATCTATAAAGCCTTTGAATAAATTGAAAGAGTTTTCAGCAAAACTTTTCATTATCATTATAACTGGTGCTTAAAGGGAATAGGTACATATATGTACTGTATGATAACATTTATAGTTTTAATTCTAAAGATGTTAGATGCATACATGTTTATTAGTAAACACTTTGTATGGGAAGTAGTTTCAATGTAAGTGAAACACTCTTTATGGGTCCATCAATCACCTATTATAAAAATTAGTACATTGAATTTTAAAAACAAAATTTGTTGAATAAAATTTTCACATACAAAGTCAGCTCTGTGATACATTAGTTAAATAATTGTACAGTTATAGTTTGGTTTTCTTTAGGGTATTATGCTCTGAATTTTAACTTTATCAGATTACTTAAACAGTTAGTTTTTTTGTAACTAAAAGTGTTAAAAGGAGTGCTTTTGAAGTAAACCAATTGTAACATTGTGTTTTTTTAATTTGGCATTGCTTTCATTGCTTTTGCTTTGATTTTTTATAGTCCTCTTTCTTGTAGTTACTTAGTCATTATTATTTTGTCAAGTGCCCATGAAATATTATTTTAATTTATAAATATTGAATAAAAACATGAAATTTTTTTTTAAAATTTTTTTTAAAATCAAAACAAACTCCCAAAGAAATTAAATTCAGTATTTTAGTAAAAAAATTTTTATTTTTGGCCCCTAAAGGGAAACCAAAAGTTACTTTTATTTTTAGTTTTTTTTTTTCTATAAATGTACTAGTTACCCTGTTTCAAATTAAAAGCGGGGGTAAACTTTTTATGTAAATTTCCCAGCGGGTTATTAAAAAATTAAAAAATACTATTTTCCAATACTCCTTTAATAAAAATGTAAAATTTTAAAAAATATGAAAAAAAAGAATGAAATTTTTTTTAAAAAATATTTTAATTAAAAAAGGCAACTGAAAACCCCAAAGGTTTTGCAAAAAAGTGATACTTTGTACATTTTTTTAAAAAAATAGTATTTTAAAAAATATTTCTTTTAAACTGGTAATTTTAAAATGTTAAAAAATTAAAAGTGGCAAAATCCTTACTAAAAATTTAAGAAATCCAGAAACATCCTATTACTTAACATTTAATTTTTTGTATTTATTACATTTTTATATGAGTCTTATAAAAAAAAATTTACCCACCCAATTAGATTATTAAATAATGTTTACATAATATGTTCCACTATTAACTGATTAACTGTGGATGTTGAAAATGTTTATTTTCTTGTTGCAAGTCCCCACATAACTTTAATAATAATTTATAAATTTTAAATGAAAAACACAAAGACATTTTTAACACTCATTTAGAGATTTGCTTATGAACTAGGAACCAATTAAAGTTATTAACTGATTTAGCACTGATTTGGTGTAGAACCTGTCAACTTCTATTTTTATTTTACTTTGGCCAATCTATGCAATAAAGAGAAATCTTATTTGTGTGACAGTGACTTTTCAATATTTCAATCAATCTATTAAAACAAATATGCCATTTAAATATTAACAAATAACTACTGAATGGCACTAAAGTTATCTGTGCTATTTATATCAGTAACACTGAAATAGTCAAAGACAAACCTTGAAGCATTTGTTCCAATTTCTTTCTGTCAACACGAAATCTTTCTTCGATATATCCCAAATCATTTTCAAAAACCTCATTTTTATTTTCCTGAGAATTGTCCCCTTTGTCAGATCCAATTTCACTTAAAGAAGCCGAGTCTTTCATTTCCTCTCGGCGACTTGTAAGGCTGTCAGCCATTGCATACTTGTTGTCAGTCTGAAGCGAGGCTTATGTTCCAATTAGCGTGTAGGGGGCGTTTCAACGCATATTTGATCTGTCAAAATTTGATTTTATTGAAAATCAACACTAATGATAGAACGTTGAATATGAATGACATATATTGTAAACATATATTGTAAACGTCTTACGAAAATTGCATATCGATCTGTAAAATAACTGGCTCAAGACACTGATTTTTAGAAAATATTCTTAAATACGTTACTTTATTAGTAACTGTTAATGCTAGACCCATCTAGACAAGACAACTAAAAAAAAAAAAGGGGAAAAAAAAAAAAAAAAAAAAAAAAAAAAAAAAAAAAAAAAAAAAAAAAAAAATAGTTTCAGAGTTATATGATGACGTTTAAATATGAATAAAGTTTTGTTCTAATTTGATACATAACTGTATGCTTAATGAGAAAGTATAAATCCTTATATATTAATATAGACACAAACAATTAAATTGATGAGGTTTCAGTACTAACATACAGCATGGATTTCACATGATGATTTGTGCCGCAATATCATGACAAATTATTTTTCTTCCTTTTCTGTTTGACATATATGGTCTATATTTAAGCCATATAAATGCACATAAATAGTTATTGTTAGAATTCCATGTCAATTTGCAAACAAAACATAAAAACTAAGACGTTGTAAATCTGGTTTAACTGTTGCTGGTAAATTTTGAGTGTTATAATAATTCCAGAATATTGTCATTGTTAGAACTATTTTTTCTAAACCTGAAGGTTGACTTTGTAATGTTCCGATTAATTTGAAGTTATCAATATTGATGTAGTGTAATTGCTTGAAGAAGTTCACTAAAATATCACCAACAAACTTACATAATGAAACATACATAATAACAAATTTAAAATTAAGTTATAAGCACTGTATGTGTCTGTTTCGGCTAACACAAATAAAACCCATACTTCTTACGACCCCTATTCCTAAAACAACAACAACACTAATATCAATATTCAATGTATATATTGTTAAAAAAAATGACATAGCACACGAACTGTCTGCCTAATAATACCAAGTAAAATATTGCAATTACTAGTAGCTCATAAATTTATCGGATATCAACTTGAAAACAAGCAGCATATGGCTGAAAAAGGTGGCATTCAATGATGAACTTTTTATTCAACAAAGATACATGTAGCTTATAAAAACAATATAAATGCATGTGTATACTGTATACATTTTGTTTGTCATTCGAATTATACAAATCTCATTTTCAACTTGGTCTTCAAACTAACATTACAATGAAAAATATATACCCAATAAAAGACGGGACATTTATAAAATATATGTAAATATTATGTTATGCCCAAGAAATAAGAATAATAGAGATCATAACTTGCAGTACATGCCATTAATTAACGGTGACAGACTTTTATATTCAATATGAAATATGTTGTTTATGAATTATAATTTTCATGCGTCAGATGTTTCCTGAATTACATAGTTTATTTGCAAAATCAATTGATGCATGAGTGATAAGATTTACAACGTTGAGGAAACCCCTTGCTCCTTTTTGGTATTTTATTTGTTTTGGGCTCATTTAATTTTTACAAGCGTCTGAAGACTGCGATCACAATGGCGGGAACGATCACAACATAACATAAATCAAAAAGGATTATTTAGGAACTAGGTTGATTTTAGCGGAAGTTATCTGAATTGTCGACGAAGCAGTCCCCAAATATAACAATGGAGTTTTCAGACAAGCCATCTCCAAAAAATGTCGAAGCACTCCTTTGTGCCCCGACAGAAGAAAACGTGTCAATCGAAAGGAAAAGTTGTAAAATAATCGCAAATCAAGGCAAATATAAATTGAAGGACAAGAACTTCTTGCGCCAGTATGCACACATTTATTCAGAACGGCTTCTAACAATGCGTCCTAGCTTGGAAGCTGCAGCGAAGAAGAAATGGGGTGTGAAATTATATTTTTTGAACTTGATTTTATCAACAGGGGATTCTGTCTTTTTTTTTCTTTCCCACTAGATATATATATAATATAACAAGGGATACAACTCAAAATTGGTCAATTCATAAAAAAGTAAATAAAAGGCATTATACGACAATATTTTTCTCTTCTGATTGTTGGACTCTCACAGGCTTCGCGAAAGTTGCCGGACCGTCGGACATGTCCGGCAAAAATCAGGCCGGTCCGATATTTTTTTTCGGAGTTCCGGACCTTATGTCCGGTACGAATACCGGGATATATCCAAGACCGATCAAGACCGAGTTTTCTCCCTTGAATAAAAAAATGTAAAACGAGTTTTGATTCGCCGTTTCATTATAAGTGTCCGATACATACGACTGTCAATAACCAAAATGTCGGTGTTACTACATTATTACGCTGGCGGCTACGCCGGCAAAAATCGTAAACTATCCAATGAAGAAAAAAAAAGCGAAACAAAAGTAATACGAGTCAGGCGCCCGCCGAGAAAAATTTGTGGGTAAATGGAAAAATGGCCGCTTTGATCTTGAATGTTTTGATTTCCAAACAGAGTCCATCCACAGGTGCTTGAAACAAACTTTTTAAAGTTTTATATGGGCTATCTTTATATACATATATAGACTGGTTATGTAAAATATTTGATTATGTGACTAGCGCCTGTGAGTCCATCAATCTGGATAAACTAATGTTTTATTTAAGGGAATAAAATTGTGTTGCAAATCTTTAAAAGTTATGTCTTTAAAAAAAAAAACACCAGGTTATTACCATATACATATATTTAGGGGGAAAAATTTCGGTCAGACAAAAGTTCTTTTGGTCAGACAAGAATTGAAGGTTTGTCTGACCGAATGTCAGGCAAATTTTTCAGCAGTTTCGCGAAGCCTGCTCTCATGAAAGAATTGATTATTATAAAAAAATGTCTCACTTTGATACATAATTTGACAAGATAATACTAAAAGTTAAGCTCTCGTGTTTCATTTTTACACTCGTTCGTGAAATTTCGGCATGTAAAATTACACATGTAAAACTATATTTTATGCACAGTTATACTGATATGAGACAGTTTAATCATGTTATCACATAAATATCAATCACCACCAGCAATGGTGCAATCATAAACTTCTGCTACATATAAATCAAGGAATTCTTGTTTGTTTTGATATTTTTAAACTTCAGCTGCCATTTTGTAGTTGCCCGTATGTTCCAATGCGTAAATCCAACTTCTGTTAGTAACTGTCAATTTCATTGGGTAATGAATAATAATAATCCGGATAATAACGGCATATATTATATTTCATTTACAGACTTCCCGAAAGTTGAAAAAAACTGTCAGACATTCGGTCTGACAAACCATGAAAATCTGTCGGACCGAAACAAAATCTGTCAGACCAAATAAAATTGATCAAAATCAAAGAAAAACTTGTGTTTGTATTTCTAAGACACTTTTTTTTTTTTTTTTTCGCCGTAAAAATCGGCACAATCCGTACAGCGCATTTTCATCTCCTCCCTGTCATACACCAATGATTCATGGTTCTGCTTTCATTTTTCATTAAATTTTGTCTCAGGTCTAATATTTTCATCATTTTATTGCTTTTCTGTGCACTCTTCTGACGTAGATTTTCGGTTTTTCCAAGGTTTGACACCTTTAGCGACGCCATTTTGTATACATGCGGCTTGGATAAAAGCCGGACAGTCGGACCGATCCGGAATAAAAAATTGTCGGACCTGATCAAAATTTATCGGACATGTCCGTCGGACCGACGTATTTCGGGAAGTTTGCATTTAAGAACTTGTATAACAGTTAAACTGATAATAATGAAATTATTCTAAATGCTATTATTTAAACTAAGCTTTGCTTGTTATAACCTACAGGCAATGATGTATGCACAAGGAAATTGCATGAGCTGAAAAGTGATGAGAAATGTGTGGTTGTTGGAACACTGTTTAAACATATGGAACTTCAACCTAGCATATTGAAAGAAATAAGTGATGAGGTACATATTAATTTTTCTTCCCACTATAGTTTCAGAGTCAAATCTATATTAAGTTTGTGTTGTTGTTTTTTTAATAGCAATTAACATATAAATATAAAAAAGTAAGCTGTGAATATAGTTGAAAAGGTTTGTTATTCAGTATATATTAGCTAGTATTTATTTTGAAAATTTCCGAAAATTGATAGATGGTCTTGTCCAGACTGAAAGATGGATAAAGTTAGGTTACACTTGGAAGCGTAAACTTCCAGATAGGAGGATATAAACCAACATATTTTTCTCCTTTAAGCATGGATTAATGCCTCAACAAATATCATCTAAATTTACAAGCCCAGAGGATAAACTTATTTTGGAAGATGAGCTTCAAAGAATCGTACTTGTTGGTGAACTTAAAGTGGAAACATCTGTGACAGGTTAGATTAAATATAACATATTTTGTTATCTTTCAAGCTCATCTAAGTGCTTTAATACAGTAGTACAATATTTTACATTCTATTCACCAAGTAACTTTAAGTTCTCTGCCCGAGAATAAACTGCACTTTAATAATTACAATTATTACAGATATATCTTGAAATATTGTATCCTCATATGCTGATGCATTTTGTTTATCTGCAAAATTAATAAGTTGAATGCGTGTAGAAATTAGGTTTAGAATCGTATAGGCTAGAAATATGTGCTTATTTCACTTTGAAGCAGCACTAGTTCTTTTTTAGGTGAATTTAGCAAATAATTGATTAAAATTAATGGTTATTGTAGAGTGGAAAATTTTGAATTATTTACCTTGAATTTGACTTCAAATGTTTAAATTAAAAAAAAATGAACACCATTTCAAAAACTAAGCTTAGGAAATATAGATAGTAAAATATGGTGTTTCTGTTACATATTTCAAATATGTTGTTGCCTTGTCAGTCTTCTAATAGATTAAAATAATTTCTCATTCAAGGTGTGATAGTAGCTGTTTATGGAAAAGAACCTGAGGATGATAAAGGCAAGTTTCATGTGGAGGATTACTGTTTTCAGGAATTACCGAAACAAAGTCCACTTCCTGAACTTGATACAGAAAAGTAGGTTCAATCTATGTCATCAATTGGTATTTGTAGTTTGTCTGTTCCTTAACTTTTACTTTAATTGACATCGTCTCATAAACCGCAAAGCCAATTTCATCTTAACTTCACAGGAATGGTCCGTTGGTGGTCACCTTTAAAAATTGTTCAAAGAATTTAATTCCATGCAGAACTCTGGTTGCCATGGCACTCGAAAGAAAAAACTTAAAATATCTTCTTTTAAAAAACCGAAAGAGCTAGAGCTTAGATTTTTGGCATGAACCATCTTTTAGTGAGTGTCAAATTTGTTCAAATAAAAGCCTAAATGCCTCTGTGGTCGAGGGGTTAGAGTTGATGACTTTTAATCCAGTTACTTCTCTGGCGTGGGTTAGATCCCCGGGAGATGCTTTGGTAGTTTAGCCGAAGGAATGTAGTCTAGTACTGGTGTAACTCTCCAGGAGCAATGGTAAGGAAACTACCAGCCTATATGACTGAAATACTGTTGGGAAAAGGCGTAAAATGAAACAAACTAACAAATAAAAGTTCTGGGGTCAAAATTGGCCCGCCCCAGGGGGTCATTGCTTTGTTTTCCTTATATGAATATAGTAAAAACATAAAAAATCTTCTTTAAAAAACTGAAAGAGCTAGAGCTTAGATATTTGGCATAAAACATTGTCTGATGAGTGTCTACCAAGTTTTGTTCAAATAAAAGTGCTGGGGTCAAAATTGGCCCTGCCCCGGGGGGTCGTTGATTTTCCTTATATGTATATAGCAAAAACTTTTAAAAAACCGAAAGAGCAAGAGCTTTTAAAAAACCGAAAGAGCAAGAGCTTAAATATTTGGCATGAAACATCTTCTAGTGAGTGTCTATCAAGTTTATTCAAATTAAAGCCCTGGGGTCAAAATTAGCCCCACCCCGGGGGGTCATTGATTTTCCTTATATGTATAAAGTAAAAACCTTAAAAAATCTTCTTTTAAAAAGCCCAAAGAGTTGGAGCTTAGATATTAAGCATGAAAAATCTTCTGGTGAGTGTCTACCAAGTTTGTTCAAATAAGAGCTCTGGGATCAAAATTGACCCCGCTCCGGGAGTACTGATTTTCCTTATATGTCTATAGTAAAAACTTAAAAATCTTCTTTTAAATAACCCATAGAGCTAAAGCTTAGATATTAAGCATGAACATCTTCTAGTGAGTGTCTACCAAATTTGTTCAAATAAAAGTCCCAGGGTTAAATTGGGCCCAGCCGTGGGGGTCTGATTTTCCTTATATGTCTATATAAAAAATGAATAAATCTTCTTTTAAAAACCCCAAAGAGATAGAGCTTAGATATTTATCATGAAACATCTTCTAATGAGTGTCTACCAAGTTGGTTCAAAAAAAGTCCTTGGGTTAAAATTAGCCCCGCCCCAAGGGCCTATATACAGGTGAGAGATTTCAGGGTCATCATTGCCCTCTTGTTATGAAATAATTACAGGTACAGATCATTTGCCATACATATACATAAAGTATAAGGTGGCACCTTTTACTTAGCAGTATCCCTATTCTTCTGGACCAAGCAAAGAAAATAGTTTTCTTTCTAAGTACATTTATTGGGATAAGAAAAAGTAACAAGTCATTTGACAAATAAGCAATAACTGCAGATAAATGTTTGGAGACAAAATTAGTTGCTTCTTTCAGTTATACTTAGATTTTTATTATTTTACAGGTATCTAGCATTTGTCTCTGGAATAGAGATAGGGTCTAAAGAAGAACAACAATTTGCATTACAAATGTTTGTTGACATGGTAACAGGTCAACTTGGTGACCCAGGACAGCAGGAAGGGACAGGGAATATTGTGGGTGTGGTCATAGCTGGCAACTCCCTTAGTAAAGATACACAGTCAAAAGATAGCTTAACAAAGGTAGTTATTTTATTAGATTTACAGAAAGTCCACTTTAAGTCCACTTTGGAAAGGGTACTTTTTCTGACCATCTTTCTTTTACAATATTATATATTAAAAAACACCATCTCTTTAAAATGAAGTTTAAGCTTATATGCTATATCAAGGAAAGACAACTTAGTATAAATCAACTAAAGGACATTATCAAAGAGTCTAAATGATTTAACAGAATATTAACAGCAGGAAAATGTATAAGCGAACACGTTACATTGTGGTCAGTGAAATGGTTAATCATGTATAAAGCTTTATATCTGCTGTTTATGTTCACAAAGTTATTGTTTGAATTTTGAAAATGAGTGATTAGGAAAAACTTCCATGACTGAATTATATTTAGATATTAACATGCACAAATTTAAACTGTTGAATAATTCTACTGCAAGAACAGGAAAATCCATTCTATTTTGTTTTATCAAATGACTACGGTATCAAATGAGATTTGAGCTGTGCATGCTCGTATCAGTGTGCTTCTATGTCTGGATCAGAAAAATTGTATGTTGAACGTAGTTCAACAATTTTTTTCAAGCCTATTTGACTTTGAATGCAAATTCCTTTTGTACACACAGTGAGCAAACAATAGGAGAATATATTAGTGTCAACCCTTTTCTTTCAGTTTGCCATCAATTTTCATGTATCTTAATACATTTTTTATCAAGAATGACTATAAGATATAGAAAATCTGAAACTAAATAATTTAGTGTCTATAAATTTTTTTATATATCTTTTTAAAGTTTATAAACCATTAAATTTATGTAGCCAGATAATATTAGATAATATTAACCAGTGGTGCTATACTTAGTACATATTGTGTCCTTATTTTTGTGATGGAAACTTCAAATGGTTATTTACTTGTCACTCTTTACCTGCTGTTTTTTTGTGCAATCTATCTATTGGTTTGCACTGCTTTGAATTTGGAACAGTTCATTTGAAAATTAGGGCATTTTAATATCACAATAGAAAAATTGAGCTACCAACAATATAGAATCTCAAGACTGCACTAGTGCAGACTTAGCTGGCCCCTTCACTAGTGTTGAAGGCTGATCACTCGGTTCTAGCAGGTTAACGGTCAAAGTAAAAGATTTACATTTCTATACCACTCATCGAGTTGATTTCTTGTTCTTTATATTCCAGGCAAAATATTTAACCAAGAAGACTGTAGCAGGAAGTGTTGATGCTATAAAATCTCTAGATGATAGTCTTGTACAACTTGCAGTAAAAATATTTCTGTTATCTTACATTTCCTTCAACAAAAACTAGGATATTCATTGATATATCAATAGTTTTAGTCTCTAATTTTTTTGTGAACCTGGTGTGTTTTTGTTCAAATTTGCTTTATGTAACATTTACTGATTAATAACCAGTTTCAGTATAATTGTGGCAAATTGTTTGTAATGAGCTTAATTCTATTTGAATGTTTTGGCACAATTTCTATGATCAAGTTATTTTATTTAAAAAGAACTTTAAAAATGACTAGTTTCAACCAGTTTTACATTGTATTTTGATAGGGAAGTACAGAGGTAATATTGATGCCTGGAGAGTATGATCCGACCAACTTCACCTTGCCACAACAGTCACTACATAAGTGTATGTTCCCACAGGCAGCCAGATACCCTACTCTACAGTGTGGTACAAATCCATACAGTGGAACTGTTGATGGAGTAAAGTAAGATTTAAATTCAGTTTTAATGGTAGCATGCATATCTTTGATGAAAATTATCATCAATATTTTAATGTCTTTATTTTGTTTAATCCCATAGGTATAGAAAAGTATATGCAAAATTAACTGTTGGTATGCTGGTGGTTATAGGTGGAGTAAAATAAGACTTTGATCCCTGTATGTGATCTTGCAATTGTTTAAGTTACCAATTTTTATGATCAGGCTGTTCTACCCATATTACGACCTCTACTGTGTCGATGCGACATAAAACCCAGCAAAAAAAAAATAAGATCTATAGTTTCTCATAGCAACTTCATTTAAAGACTGATTTCTAAGATATTTGGCACCTAGTGGTGCTCTTAGTGTTAGTAAGTGTTTGGACTATAGAAAGATTCATACAAGAAATACGATCATCTGGCTCTTAAGATTTTTTTTTCATTACCATATTTTTTTTTGATTTGTGAATTAATTGCTGAATTGATATAGATTATATACATCTAGTGTAGGAAACACTTTCATTATTCAGTCAAGATAACATAAGTTTTTCTATATACAGAATCTTAGGTACTTCAGGACAGCCAGTGAATGATATATACAAATACAGTGAATTGAGTGATGGTTTAGAGATATTAGATAAGACACTAGAATGGGGACATCTGGCACCTACAGCTCCAGATACTCTAGGTAGGTCTGATAATAAAACATGTGATTATATACTTGTATCATAGTTTGGGAACCTTTCTGTTGAAAATTGTTAGAGTTAAATCGTAAACATATAAATGCACAGTGCGTTAACTGTAGTGCAAGTATTAGTTACCCACACTCCAGAGCAGGCCCATTGATTAGCTCATTTTTGCTGGGGTTTACTTATTGTGAAGGCAGAGAAAGTGAAAGCGATAGAAATATCATATTCAGATGCTCGTTCATTGGTTACTTTTTAGCTCACCTGTCACAAAGTGACAGGGTGAGCTTTTGTGATCGCTTTTCGTCCGGCGTCCGTCCGTCCGTCCGTAAACTTTTACTTTAAATGACATCTCCTCATAAACCACTAAGCCAATTTCATCCAAACTTCACAGGAATGTTCCTTTGGTGGTCACCTTTAAAAATTGTTCAAAGAATTTAATTCCATGCAGAACTCTGGTTGCCATGGCAACCGAAAGAAAAAACTTTAAATATCTTCTTTTAAAAAACCCTAAGAGCTAGAGCTTAGATATTTGGCATGAAACATCTTCTAGTGAGTGTCTACCAAGTTTGTTCAAATAAAAGTCCTGGGGTCAAAATTGGCCCCGCCCCAGGGGGTCATTGATTTTCCCTATATGCATATAGTAAAAACTAAAAAAATCTTCTTTTAAAGAACCCAAAGAGCTAGAGCTAAGATATTTAGCATGAAACATGTTCTAATGGGTGTCTACCAAGTTTGTTCAAATAAAAGCCCTGGGGTCAAAATTGGCCCCGCCCCGGGGGGTCATTGATTTTCCCTATATGCATATAGTAAAAACTTAAAAAATCTTCTTTTAAAGAACTCAAAGAGCTATTGCTAAGATATTGAGCATCAAACATGTTTTAATAGGTGTCTACCAAGTTTGTTCAAATAAAATCACTGGGGTCAAAATTGGCCCCGCCCCAGGGGGTCATTGATTTTCCCTATATGCATATAGTAAAAACTTAAAAAATCTTCTTTTAAAGAACCCAAAGAGTTAGAGCAAAGATATTTAGCATGAAACATGTTCTAATAAGTGTCTACCAAGTTTGTTCAAATAAAAGCCCTGGGGTCAAAATTGGCCCCGCCCCAGGGGGTCATTGATTTTCCCTATATGCATATAGTAAAAACTTAAAAAGTCTTCTTTTAAAAAACCCAAAGAGCTAGAGCTAAGATATTTAGAATGAAACATGTTCTAATGGGTGTCTACCAAGTTTGTTCAAATAAAAGCCCTGGGGTCAAAATTGGCCCCGCCCCAGGGGGTCATTGATTTTCCCTATATGCATATAGTAAAAACTTAAAAAGTCTTCTTTTAAAAAACCAAAGAGCTAGAGCTAAGATATTTAGAATGAAACATGTTCTAATGGGTGTCTACCAATTTGTTCAAATAAAAGCCCTGGGGTCAAAATTGGCCCCGCCCCGGGGGGGGGTCATTGATTTTCCCTATATGCATATAGTAAAAACTTAAAAAGTCTTCTTTTAAAGTACCCAAAGAGCTAGAGCTAAGATATTTAGCATGAAACATGTTCTAATGGGTGTCTACCAAGTTTGTTCAAATAAAAGCCTTGGGTCGGTCAAAATTGGCCCCGCCCCAGGGGTGTCATTGTTTTTAACTATATGTGTAAAGTAAAAACTTTAAAAAAAATCTTCTTTTAAAAAGCCCAATGAGCTAGAGCTTAGATGTTTAGCATGAAACATCTTCTTATGGGTGTCTACCAAGTTTGTGCAAATAAAAGCCCTTTGGTTAAAATTGGCCCTGCAACGTTGTGGTGGGGATGGGGGGCCTATATACAGGTGAGCGACCTCAGGGCCATCATGGCCCTCTTGTTTTTCTGAGGTTTCCTATTGTGACAACAGGGAAAGTGTTTTTATGTTTGACTGTGATACAAAAGAGAAAGAACATCAGAACACTCTGCAATCTGATTAATACTCGGGAGACTACGCCCCCTCGTATAAATCAGATAGCCTTGTGTTTCAATGCTCTTTCTATTACTTATAAATAAAATATTGAGAAATTGATGAAATAAAATGGATGTTTTCATTTTCCTTACTTTCACTGTGAAACTTTATTTTTCTCTTCAATGAAACATATTTTCCTATTTTCACAGGTCCCTTGCTGTACTTTTTCTAGACACAGTCAATACACAAAATAAAAGGGGAATTCTTTGAATTGTGAGGTCAAAAAAAGAAAGAAAAAATATATAATAAACAGAAAATTAAGGTTTTTTTCTATCAATACAGGATTTATTTTCATCTTTTGGTGTGAGAGCCACTCATGAAATATTTATTTTCTTACCACTCATTGAAAATAAATCACGTTTTAATTTTAAAAAAAACTTGATAATCATCTACTAGTACTTCAGGTACTGGACTTTGCATGTAAGATGGTGTTTCATCATTATGAATTACTAGTTGTAATAGTCACAGTGTAACATGAGTCATTGTAAAGTCTTTTTAGGTGAAATTTTGAACAAGGCTTCATGTTTTAGCGAATAGCATTCTATTCATTGAGCTTACATTGGTTAACTAGGTTCCACATGAATTACTGTACTTTAAAAAGCATGTGTATTTGATTTTATCTATTTCATTTGTCATACTTTCTTGAAATAAATAGCATTTCACCAGATAAGATTACCAGTTTTATACCCATCTCTCTTTACATTAAAAGAAGGGAAAACTACTGTAATATTGCTTTTTCTTCAATAAAAAGTAAAATACTGTTTAAGTGGATATTTATGCGTCACAAAAATTTTGCGAATGTCAAAAAGTGGACTTTTTGTATGTGGAAATTTTTGCGAAAATATGATTTCTTTAATGTAATACTGTTTTTTTTTGACATCATAAATTAAGCAGGCACATGTTAAGAATATTCCGTTATGGTAATCATTCTATCTATTCAGTTATTTAATACCTTTATTATTTATATAACTATTTGAATTATACAGTGTTAGTTTGATAAAAGAGCTGATCACACATTTCTTTGTCATATTTTGAAACATTCTTTTGTTATATTAATAACCTTGTTGTGTAAACACTAAATAATCAAAAGATTGCACTGGATCTTGTATAACGTTGTTTTTTTTCTGATTACCGGAAACCAACTCATATAATGACGTCAATACAATAACATATAAAAAGGCGCATCAAAAAACGTGACACAAATTTTTTGCGCATAACTAAGTTCTGCTGCTATATCATAACAATCCTTTGTGTTATTAAACTTTTGTTTCATTAAAAAATTTGTTTTTTGAAAATCAATTAAAAAAGCAATGGAAATTTTCAGTCCTGAACTTTTAAATTACTGTAGGGCTGTAGAACTCGTTTTTTCAAATGAAGAAAGTTTGCCAAAAAAGAATATTTTTTTGGGATCAAGTGTTTTGGGGAATAATTTCTTTTTGAAAAATTGAAAATTTTTCAGTCAAAAAATTGAAAAAAGGTTTATTTTTTCCATTCTGTGTTTCGGAACGTTTTTCCCCACTTAAACATTTTTTAGTATGTTTGTTATCTTTATTTTTTGACTTATAAAAACTTTTTAAAATTTTTATAAAATTTTTTTTTAAGTATTTTTTTTTGATGCTTTTTATATATTATGATGAAGCCCCATTTTTCCCAGGAATGTTAATTTTGTTTTCGGAACCGCCCAAAATTGCTAAGATAATAAAGGTAAATTATATTTACATATTTCTATTATTTGTGTGTCTTTTTAAAAAGAAAACCCCTTGTGTTATGGGTTGCCCTTAAAAGTTAAAACATAATTTTGACCCATTTTAAAACCTGATGATGAAAGAGTGAAAAAATGATTCGAATTACTGTGTCTATGTATTTTTTGCCCCACTGTGGGGGGTTTTTGACAGCTGGGTTGCTTTAGGTTTGAAACATTGGGGTTTACCAAATGTCTTTCCTTTTAAAGACTATATGCCCAAAATTGTGTTGGCTGAAAAAAGAAAAAAAAAAGGAAAATTAAAAAAGAAACCTAGAATTAAAAATCTAACCCCTTTGGGATTTAATTTTTGTTGGGTTCAAGTTTCCTAGGGATTTCCATCTGTTTATGCTTATTTACTCATATGTCACCATGTTATATAGCTAAAGATGGGTATGGTAGTCAAAAGATATCAGTTAGAATCCTTTACATTTCATATCTGCTGGAACCAAAAGGGATAAGTCTCGGTCAATTCAGTATAGTCAGGACAGTTTCTACATCCCTGTAGTCTGTCCATGCTCTATATTGTTGGTAGCTCAATTTTGAATTTCTAAATTGAAATCCCATTAACTTATTTTACTGGCTGAGCAAATACGACTGTTTCAGATTCAAAGCTGAGCAATAAATTACATGAATTTAGCAGGTTATCGGTTGAAAGTTAATATTGTTATGACTATTTCAGGTGCCAGTGGGCAGCGTGTACTGGTAATGACAGTGCCTAAGTTTTGTCAGACAGGGACAGTTGCAATAGTAAATTTAAGAACTTTACAAGCATATCCGATGGTGTTTAAATCTGAAATAGAAGAGGAATCAATGGACACACAGAGCCCTGATGTTGATAAATGATTAAAAAATATATTGGTGTAGAATAAATGTTGATCATTTTTAGCTCACCTGTCACAAAGTGACAGGGTGAGCTTTTGTGATGGCTTTTCTTCCGGCGTCCGTCCGTAAACTTTTGCTTTAAATGACATCTCCTCATAAACCACTAAGCCAATTTCATACAAACTTCACAGGAATGTTCCTTTGGTGGTCATCTTTAAAAATTGTTCAAAGAATTTAATTCCATGCAGAACTCTGGTTGCCATGGCAACCGAAAGAAAAATCTTTAAATATCTTCTTTTTAACAACCCTAAGAGCTAGAGCTTAGATATTTGGCATGAAACATCTTCTAGTGAGTGTCTACCAAGTTTGTTCAAATAAAAGCCCTGGGGTCAAAATTGGCCCCGCCCCAGGGGGTCATTGATTTTCCCTTTATGCATGTAGTAAAAACTTAAAAAATCTTCTTTTAAAGAACCCAAAGAGCTAGAGCTAAGATATTTAGCATGAAACACCTTCTAATGAGTGTCTACCAAGTTTGTTCAAATAAAAACCCCGGGGTCAAAATTGGCCCTGCCCCAGGGGGTCATTGATTTTCCCTATATCCATATAGTAACTTAAAAAATCTTCTTTTAAAGAACCCAAATAGCTAGAGTTTAGGTATTAAGCATGAAACATCTTCTAGTGAGTGTCTACAAAGTTTGTTCAAATAAAAGCCCTGGGGTCAAAATTGGCCCCGCCCAGGGGGTCATTGATTTTCCTTATATGTGTATAAGTGTATAGCAAAAACTTAGAAATCTTCTTAATAGCTAGAGTTTAGATATTAGGCATGAAACATCTTCTAGTAAATATCTACAAAGTTTGTTCAAATAAAAGCCTTGGGGTCAAAACTGGCCCCGCCCCAGGGGTGTTATTGTTTTTTAACTATATGTGTATAGTAAAAACTTAAAAAATCTTCTTTTAAAAAACCCAATGAGCTAGAGTATAGATATTAAGCATGAAACATCTTCTAGTGAGCGTCTACAAAGTTGTTTAAATAAAAGCCCTGGGGTAAAAATTGGCCCCGCCCAGGGGTTCATTGATTTCCTTATATGTGTGTAGCAAAAACTTAAAATCTTCTTTGAAAAAAACCAAATAGCTAGAGTTTAAATATTAAGCATGAAA